AATCCACCGACAAATCTGAAACATTTTTGATATGATTCATATCTTCGCAACCATAATATCCGTTGGGAATAGTCTTCTCTGCTAGTTAGCGCCATCCCATCTGCACCGATGTAGATTTCTCTTGATGGATTTAGTCGAACTTGTCAGGGGTGCAGTTCTGCAAGTTTTTCTGTTAACATTTACTTTGCTCTGACCAGGTCGCTGCTTGCATTGGAAACTTGATCTGTTCTGGGGCACCCACTCGGCAAGGCATTTTACATATGTGTCACGGCTGCTATGCTTCTGCCTGCACGTACGCACAAGCAGGGCCTTTTTGACTTCTCGAGAACGGCTAGGCAGATTGCCCTCAAAGCTGATAGGACGGTAGAGCCTCGAGGTTTTGACCGTACATCCGTTGATGGAGGAATCCCCTATATCAATCTCCAAAAGTGCGTCTTGCCAGGTAAGCTCGCGTGGGGTCGTGGTTAATTATATAAAAGAAGATGGCCAGCTACTGAATGGGAACCAGCAGGATATCTTATGGACATGGCTTTTTCAAGCTGGAAGCATTTATTTAAGCTGCTATTCTATGGCAGGATTTGTCTGTTGGATCAGTAACATAATAAAGGAAAATGTCCCCATTAGCAAATAAAGCTGGAGATGAATAAAGCTAGGTCCGTACTTCATAAGATACCTCTTTATTTACAGTGAACGGGAGCAGGTATGACACTGCACTGGCGCTTCTATCCGAATGGTAAGACTACACTAGTTTAGAATTACCTTATTCCATGGATCTCATACAAAGCATGCATTGCATAATGCATACTTAAAGACATTGAAAGCTTTATAGCTGTCTTCCATTCTGTCTCCCAATCTTCCATTCTGAAAACTTATTACATTTTAATAGGCGATGGAAACAAAGATTCATAAAGCTAAGAATTCCTCATCAAAGGGGTCATCGCTACAAAAAATAGCTACCTATGTATTTAGGTATGTCTCGCCTCGGTATACCTCATTGATAACATTAATCACATGAGTAGACCTGAATAAATTCCAAAGCTGGTTCATAACCCGCAATTGGACTATCAGCAGTATGTAAAAGAAAACGTAGACCAATGAGACCAATGCTTGGAATCATTGGTAGGAATTATTGATGACTGTTATGCCGAATCTTATAACGACCTATTCCAAATCAAATTAGGTTGACACACGCCGGAAATCTCTTTGGTTAATTCTATGATCAGGAAATAGCAGGCTAAGCTAATTATGGACAAGCTTATTGTATACCTGATCCTATTATGTACATAATTAGCACGGATGTCGTTGACTTTAACTCATGGACGTCGAACAGACAGCGGAACTGTTAATCCACAGTCAGTCCACAGTTGTCACAGGCGACAGTCCACAGTTGGTCCACAGTCAGTCCACAGTTGTCACAGACGACAGTCCACAGTTGGTCACAGCCATTTCACAGTTGGTCCACAGACGACTGTCCACAGTTGGTCACAGCCAGTTCACAGTTGGTCCACAGACGACTGTCGACAGTTGGTCACAGGTCACAGTCCACAGTTGGTTCACAGACGACTGTCGACAGTTGGTCCACAGTTGTCACAGACAACAGTCCACAGTTGGTCCACAGACGACAGTCCACAGTTGATCCACAGTCAGTCCACAGTTGTCACAGACGACTGTCGACAGTTGGTCACGGGCGAGCGACAGTCCACAGTTGTCACAGACGACAGTCCACAGTTGTCACAGCCAGTCCACAGTTCCAGTCCACAGATGACTGTCGACAGGCAGCTTTCACTCGGACAGTCCGCATACAATCCACTAACGGTCCATTAGTCTGAAAGCAGTTCAAAGCAGATATTTGCATGGAGCTGAGCGGTAAGTATGATCCAAACGATTGTCACGACTAATGCAAGCTACAATTTATGATCAAATAGCAGGTCACTTGGAACATATCTGCTGGAGCTTAGGTTTCATAGGCTTTTGAGGCGGCGATAAAAGCAAAGCTCTTGGGGGGGGGGGAGGTGTTGCTTTTACAGCACCCAGAAGAAGTTCCCAGGTAATGCCAGGCAATTCCAGGTTAAGTACCATACACTTGTGAATTGCGGACTATGTTCAACAAAGTCATCGCAACTGTACAGGAAATTAATATGTACGATTGCAATTGCAACACATCCTCTTTAGATAAAAAATCGCATTTTTGTAGCGACCAAAACATGACGATGGATCAATCCTGAGATACTCATTGCCCATTGGGCACTCAGGGTGATGGCCTCTCGAGCCCTTAGTGGATCTCTTGACAATACCATGTCTCGTACTGCAATCTCAGCAAGTCCCTCGACGAAATGAAAGAGTTTTTTATGACTTACGAGATATCAAATCACGATCCGTGTGATCAGGCTCATTTTAACAGATCAAGATACACATATACGATTACCTGGTCCGCGGAGATTTTCTGCCTCTCACCTCAGTCTCTGTCTTTGCGTCGACTGTGTCATTGTCGAGTTCGACGCCAGACCCGCCGCTGCCGCCGCCGCTGCTGCCTCTCTCCGACCACGGCCGCCGCCTCCGCCGCCGCCGTCGCCGTCGCCAACGACGATCAGGCTACGCAGGCGCCGGAGCCGCGACGACGAGCGCCGGCAGCGACGGCCATCGATTTTCGAGAGGAAAGAAGGCACTACCGACGGCCGGAGATGTGTCTCGGTGTGGAACCGAGGGAGGGGGAGGGGGTGAGAGTTGCTAGGATACACAAAGGTGTTAGATAGAGGGAAGGAGAGAGGCCTGAGAAAGGCGAGTTGAAGTGGTTTGTGGCTACTGGCTTGTCAACAGGCATCAGCATATGGAAAAGTCTGCTGGCTGTTCCTTGTCCAACCTTGACACGTTTTCTTTTATCTCAAAACAATGACCTTATAACAACAAAACGGCCCACGATTGCACTTCATATCCAGTTGTGCAAGCAGCCTTTGTGCATGCTTTGTGTCTTTGTACACGCCAGTGGTCATTTTTGCTCGAAACACAACCTCGGGTGGCGCGCATAGTGTGTATGTGAGGGTGTGAGGGTCTGTTTGTACGTGTGAGTGCGTAAGTGCAGGGATTTTTACGAATGTCAACCACAAACAGTCCCACACACCGCTGATTGGGTACCCAATTTTCCATGTTTCCTAATCAATCTGTATATGTATGTGTGAGATATATTCGTACGTTGGGGGAGGGGGGGGGGGGGTGAGACTTACAAAGCCAAACATCATATCTTTGAAACTAAAAGTCCAGTTTTCAATTGTATCCAGGTTTGTGTCTGTGTGCGTGAAATTTAGGGATATTACTCAGAATGGGAGGTCAGCAAGTAATCCTCCTCGGGTAACTGCCGATCAACGAGCATTAACCCTCGCCCCGTTGGGGGGGGGGGCCATTTTGGCCCCCCCCTGTGGTTTTTCCTGAATAGCAAGAAAACGGCGGCGCGCAGCGCCGCCAAATTTTCAGTACCTTCCCGGGCATCAATTTGACACCTTCACACCAAATTTCAAGTCTTAGGTCACCTTAGGTCAGGAGTTATTGAGGTCAAACTGAGGTCATGTTCGAGCAAAAATGAGCAAAAAACATGCAATCTTGAAACGCTCACCAAATCTACACTTATCAAGCAATTTCAAAGTTCTTTATATGGTCTAGTAGACAAAAAGCGGCGCTACAAAACTGCTATCTCGGATTTTCAAAATTTTTGGTTTTTGACCAAAAAAAATTCAAAAAATTGATTTTTTTAGAAAAACTTTGAAAAAATCCAAAATTTTTCCGAATTTCGAAAAAAACCGGAATATATGTGATAGTCCCAGCGCTCTTCTATATACATACCAAATTTCAGATCGATATCTTGTTTTTTGGCCAAGTTATAGCGAAAAAACTGTTCAAAAATGATGACGTCAAATTTTTGAACTCAATTTTTAGCAATTCTAGACCACGTACGGCAAAACAAAGACCACCATTGAACTCCCCGTGACGAGCTGCATCGATTCGATACCCATTTTATGCAAAAATATTAACTTTGAAATTTGACCTAATTTGACCTGACCTTGACCTGACCTTGACCTGACCTTGACCAAAACGTGATCTAAGCTGGCCCCAAAGGCTGCCTGACCCATATAATCGCATTTGTCATGTAAAATGGACCATAAAACATGTATCACACGACACTTTCATATTGTGACCCCCCCGTGACCTGACCTCTGTGACCTGACCTGGTATCAGTGACCTCAAATAGCAAAATATGTGTTTGAAGAACATTTCCCCATCGATGATTTTCAATGAAATGCATTTTACTCGATTTTACAACGCATTTCTTGAAGTGCCTGTAAACGGTGAAAATTGGACCTTTGACCTGACCTGTGACGTCATCGGTTTGACCTAGGTCAATAAAATTGGGTCACAAGGTAGTTCCCCGTTGGGGCTATCCAACGCCGTTTACCGCTTGTCGCTATGTTGCGTGGTTCTCGAGATCTTAGGGGGGGGCCAAAATGGCCCCCCCCCCAACCGGGCGCGTTGCTCGGCAGAGCCCAACGGGGCGCGGGTTAACCCGCACCCTGGTGGGGTTAATATAGACTTTTCGATATATCTCCAGAACCGCTGCGCCGATCGTTCCTGTCACATTTTAGAAGGTGGAACCACGTCCTCTAATTCAAGAAGTATGCATAATATTTGAAGTTTCAGGACAAAGACATGATTAACCCGCGCGGGGCGGGGGTGTCTGAACACCCCCGTCTAACTCGACTCCTGGGCCACGTAACGGCACGCGGTAAGCGGCATTCGAAAATGCGCCAAAAAATAATTCACAAAACACTTGGCCATTTTTAGGTCAGGTCAAAGGTCAGGTCGCCAGAGGTCACAAATGAGCCTTCGACATAAAAAATGAGGCATTTGATATGATGTCGGGAAGTGAACTCGTCAGGTGTGTCGCCGGCGCAAAATATGCGACCGCTCCCACGTCCCTCGGCAGATAAAGCACCGCCAAGCCATTGCTATCTGCTCGTACTCTGTCAGACTTCGTCCCTGCTGGCCGCTCGCCTGCCTAGTCGGTAGGGTGGATGACCTGTAGAAAGTGACCCTCCAGACTTCAGCCGGCTGCCACCAGGTAACAACCCAGAGCTCGTGTTAATTTGTGTCGGTGACTTACTCTGAGGTCATTTGACAGACAGAGCAATTAATAATTACTCAACTTCGTGTTTGTGAAGTTATTTTCTAAAAATATGTTCTAACTTGGTTTCCATTTCAACTAGGCCGCTTCAACCAGTGGCGCAGCCAGGGGGGGGTCAGAGGGTCAGCTGACCCCCCCGAAATTTCTGTCAGGGGCCCGCTCGAGAGAGAGAGAGAGAGAGAGAGAGAGAGAGAGAGAGAGAGAGAGAGAGAGAGAGAGAGAGAGAGAGAGAGAGAGAGAGAGAGAGGAGAGAGAGGTCTTAATCTAACCGGACGAGAGAACTGGCCCCGGCCCCTGGGAGAATGGGCCCGGGCCCCCTGAGTGGATGGGGCCCGGGCCTCCCCGTGGATGGGTCCGGGCCCCGGGAGAACAGGCCCCGGGCCCCGGGTGGACGGGGCCCGGACCCCCGGTTGGATGGGGCCCGGGCCCCCGGGAGAACGGGCCCGGGCCCCGGAGAACTGGCCCGGGCCCCTTGGAGAACGGGCCCGGGCCCCCCGTGGATGGGTTCGGGGCCCCAGGAGAACGGGCCCCGGGTGGACGGGGCCCGTTGGATGGGGCCCGGGCCCCCGGGAGAACTGGCTCGGGCCCCTGGGAGAACGGGCCCGGACCCCCTGGGTGGATGGGGCCCGGGCCCCCGTGGATGGGTCCGGGTCCCCGGAAGAACGGGCCCGGGCCTCCCGGAGAACGGGCCCGGGCCCCCGGGAGAACTGGCCCGGGCCCCGGGAGAACGGGCCCCGGGCCCCGGGAGAACGGGCCCCGGGTGAACGGGGCCCGGAGCCCCAGGTGGACGTGGCCCGGGCCCCCGTGTGGATAGGGCCCGCGCCCCCGTGTGTATATGGCCCGGGTCCCCGGTTGAATGGGGCCTGCTAGGGTGACCCGCTTGCTCCGCAACGCGAATAAGGGATATTTTCGATCGGTGGGCGTTTGGTTGGTCTTGTGTTCGTGGGTTATGTATCCATTTCGGTCGATTGCTTTTTGACGGCTAAGCATTTTGGTTTAGGAAAAAATATCCATTGTATTGAGGTACTGGTGTCTGATAGGCAAGCGTTCTACTATATACGTGCTATATACCATGTCATGTGTAGTTTATAACAAACGTTGACGTAGGTTATTGAAAAATGAAAGCCATCGATGAGTTACTATGTAGAGGTTTGAAACATTTATATTTTTAAGAATACTGCTGCTCGTCATGCAAAAGCGATGGTTGGATTTTGGACAAAATTGAATGCTCTTTCCAACTATGCCATTTTCAACGCTCAAACGTACCAGTTTATGCAGTAAAACCTGTGTAATTAAGTAGGTCATTAACAAATACCATTTTCTCCAGCGGTTTGTTCCACCTTGTTTTTGATCAATTAGCTTTTCACAATTTTTCCATGCGAGGCTGTGCATTTCTTTTGCCAACAGGCGTTGTTAGAACCCGCTCCGTCAAACGGTCACCCGAAAATAGCATTAAGTCCCAAATCTGTCCGAAACGTCAATTTTTCAAGCATAAGTGCCCTCACGGGTGCACGATGCGTGTGCCATCCCTGCACCGCACACCATTCGATAGCCCGTTCGATTCCCTACACGATACTGTGTTCCGCGTGCCGATCGGGCCCACGGTTACCGAGCCATACTGCACGGGACCGGACCAGTGTCGGGCAAATTCAGCCATTTTCGCACGATTTTGCAAGCCGATTTATGCATGTATTGTAAAGTCTATGACGCGAATTTCCACTTTTTAAGCACGCGCCATGTGCTCGCTATCGATCCGATCGAGCTGAGACCCTCAAAGGCACGTTGCCCATCCTTGATCTATAAATCGCGCAAATTTCAGCGCACTAGGTGCAACGGTCTGGCCTGTACCCCGCGCTAAGTAACACCATGCCGGGACCTCGATAGCAGACAGAATCTACGTCACCACATCACCACACCACAACAAACCCGGCCCAAGGCAATACATGTCCCATATGAGCGCGTTAACCCTCGCCGGCACAGGCCATTCCTGAGTCATTTTGCGTCCTTCGACGGCACAAGGGGAGGGTGGTACGAGCCCCCCCCGCGTTTGGCCCATGATCGAGCTAGAGCTTCGCGAAAAAAAAACGAACGTGTTACCCGTGACGAGAGTAAGCCGATGATATTCAATTTTGAGGTTCTTGGTCATTGGTTGACCTTCCAGGCCAGGTCAATGACCCAAAAATCGGGAAAACCGGGACCTGTTAGAACGTCGTAAAGTGTGGCTGCTATAGGGTTTTTCAGGGTGCTGATCACGAATAGTTATCATGTTAGTTTTGATCACAGATGATGTCTTTATGCATTTAGGTCAGGTCGGGTCAGGTCAGGTCAGGTCAACCAGTAGGCGTCGTGACGCGTATTCGTAATACGTGTCAACCACCTCTGACAGCTTCGTAACATGTTACGAAGTCATCAAAACTACTTCGTAAATGTTCAAATGGTTGCTAAATTCGGATTCAGCTCCAAAAACTAGCCTAGAAACATGTATAATTCGAAATATTACCGAGGTCATCATAGGTCAATGACCTGACCTGACCTTCAGGTGACCTTGACACCCACCCTAATGCATGGGAGCAGCATCAACTCACATGTTTGAACGCTTGAAATCACGAAAAGATTGCAAACGCGCGGCTAATGCGAGCCGGCATACGCCGAATCGCGATTCTGGCCAAACATGTCTCGGAAAGTAGGTCACAGGTCAAAGGTCATTTGAGTCAGGGTCATGCAATTTCTAGGGTAGGTGTAAAACTGATAAACGCGAGGGTACTCAATGTGTTGTCGCGATCGGCCGCTTTTTACGCGAGTTATTCGCGAAAAACTTCTTGTGAGCGAATTCACGTAATGAAGAAGGATAAAGGCACAATCTTCTACAGCAGCCAATAGATGACTTAGGTCTTAGGACAGGCACATGGAACTTCTTAAATCTTGTCCGATCGATAGAAGCAGGCAACAGCTCCGTTTGCATATATGCTATGCATATTGCGGAAGGGGCACATTTCGGCCTCGAAAGATACGAATTCATACCTCATAGCAACATATTTGTCATGGTCAATTCGCGTAGAAATTGAACACCGGGTGATTACCGAGCTATTGTTTTATCAAAATTTTCCGATTCAAACTCGCTCAGGGTTGTCGTGTAGGTAAAGGGGCCCGCTCAGCAGAATGCGTATGAAATATGGAAAGATTCTGAAAAAAATGGGTGGGGGCCCGCACACTAGGGGGCCCGCTTTGGAGGCGATGACCCCCCCGAAACGAAATCCTGGCTGCGCCACTGGCTTCAACTAAGTAACTTTCCAACTTCAACTAAGTAATGAAGGAAGCTAAAGGCGCAATACAACTTGACGTCTGTTTTGCTCTGCTACAGATTATTTCCTCAATAGGGATAAACCAAACTAAGCATGCCGCCATCGACACTGCTACTGCTGGTGGCAGTTCTGGGAAAAGGGTGTTCGGCAGCCGACAACAGCGGCGCGGAACAGATTCACCTGTCCTTCACCGATGACGTCACCACCATCCAGGTCACCTACAGCACCTTCCAGCCGGTGAAGGCTTCGGCCAGATACGGCACAGACCAGCCCGACACACTGGTAAGAACGGAAAAATAGTGAACTGAGCATTGCCGGGTAGGGAAAAACTAACGGAGAGTACCATTGTATGTTACAGCATCTAGGAAATTGTTTTGTTGCCTTCTACTCTTTTAAGGGTTTGGTGCTGCCTTTGGCAGGTGGAAGGCATTACCACTCCGTTTGCTCAGGATGAAAACGGAACTCACCTTCAATACATTCATCGGTAAGCATTGCAATTGTAACAACACATCTTATTCCTATAATGCATTATCTCTTATGCTGATCGAGTTCTTTCGCGGCTTAAATCTGTGCGAAGTACGTGAGTACTTTTTTTTTCTTCAAGTCAATTTAATTCAAGTGTTCCTTCGTTTTCGTTTTTTTTTCTGTTTTTCATGGTTTTGATCAGGGGCGGCGCCACCGACTTTGAATAGCGGGGGACACAGACAGGTAAGCTGGATGCATTGTATTTATAACAACACAATGTATTCCAAAAATACATGACTTTTTTTGCTTCAACTCGGTCGGTCCGGCCGGTCCGGATACAACATTTCCTCGGTAGGAAAATGATTTCGGAACAAAAGTCTATATATCTTTGGCTAGGGTGATCGTTGGGGTGCAAAAGCTTCAGAATTGTGCTTGTCTCAGCTCAAGCTACAAAGCTGTTATTTATGATTTCAAGCTTTTACGAAGGCTTCGGCCACAGACCGTCCTGTTGCAGTTGGTCATTGTTATATGTTTCTTGACAACGACCTCGATGCGAAGGTCGAAAATTCGAAACGAAAGCAATAAACAACTAGTAGTGGAAAAAACGTACCTTGAAAACTGTTATGGTATTCCAGTTCAAAAATCCCTGTTAAGAGTGGTGTATTTCCTTTAAAGCCGGGATATCCTTAGAAAGTCGTCGTGTGCCCAAGCATGACACCTATGCATGACATCAACACCAAAGATGCTCCTACCCGGCGCCAGGAATTAGGATGTTTATCTGTTTGGACGCTTCTAAGCTGGATGTCCCATTTTATTCTCAGATATTATCTCAGGCTATATAACACATCAGGTTGATCATGTGTTTCCTTTAGCTACCGTATAGCCACAGATAACAGTAGTACTACTGTTATCTGTGGTATAGCAAACAGAAACTCGTTTCCATGCTCTATCACTGGTGGTTTCGTTCTTTTCAGCGTGTCTCTGACCGGTCTGTGTCCGGGGGAGCGGCACGTCTACCAGGTGCTCGGTCCGGCCGGATGGTCCGAGGTGTTCTGGTTCCGACCCATGCAGGAGGGAAGCGACTGGAGCCCCCGGCTGGCCGTCTACGGAGACCTGGGCACTGTGGTAGGTACTGCTAGAGTGGCTGTAGCCTGAGATTTCCAATTGTTTTGCCGCAGTTATCTATCATTGATTTATGATTTGCAACTACTTGGAGTTCTTTGAGCTTGTATTACACATGACTGCATTAATAGTTGGATCTTTTACTCTCCCACTCTAGCGGAAAAAACTTAACCCGCGCATGACTGGGGTATTTTCCATATACCGCGAGTGACTGGGGTGGGGGGGGGGGGGCTCTCCAGAGCTCCCCTCCTTTCTCCGAAACCACTGAGCCGATCGTCAAAATTCAAAGGGTGTCTGATATCCCTGGGAAAACTGTCGAACGAAACCTATTTTCATTGACCTCGAGGTCACCGGTGACGTCACAGATCAGGTCAAAGTAAAAATTATCGACATTTTTGCTAGTTCACAATTTGGGCTCTGACCGCCGGCTAACAAGTCCGATCAGGCTCATTTTTGGTTTGCGCACTCCTTGATAGATGCCCTAGATACCCTGAGGGTAATGAACTTTTACTTCGAATTTTGAAGGTCAAGGTCAGGTCATCCTAGGTCACGAAAATTGTATATCATGTATCGATCACACGACGCATGTTTAATGGTCCATTTTCCTCGTAGATTTCGAAAATAGTGTCGTCTGTGTCATTTGAGGTCATTGTCAGCTGAATTAACCGGAGGTCAGGTCACTTTCAGGTCAGAAAAGGTCAAATTTTGAAAATGAAATTTTTCAACAAAAAGGTGCCTATCAGATGCAGTTTGAGCTCAGGAACACCATGGTGCCATTTATATTGATGTGCGACGTCAAAAACGTACGGAAAAATGGATTTGAAAAATATGTAATTGCAAAATTTTGACAATAATGCGAATAACTTGGCTATTTTTAAAGATATTGGACTGAAAATTGCTAGTGTAGTTCATCAGAGTGCGTTCTATCACACTTTTCCGGTTTTTGCGAAAAATTGAAAACTGCTTGAAAAAATCAAAAAATATTTTTTTTTTTGTAATTGTACAAACATATTTTTCAAAATTTTCAAAGTGTTGAAAATTCGAGACAGCAGTTTGATAGCTACGTGTATTTTAAGTCCACTTATGCAAAATATGGATCTAGCTTTAAAACTGAGCTCTTGAGAGCGTTTGCCGCAATTCAATATTTTGCATCAAAATCGGGCGACATGACGTCACTCTGACGTCATTTCCGGCTAAACTATGGCAGCTAGAAAGTTGAAATTTTAACACAAAGTGGCAAATTAATGTCGCTGAAGGTACTGCAAGTTTCGTGTTGATCCGTCAAACGTTTCAGAAGATATTGCTGAATAACGGGAGGGGGGGGGGGGGGGGGCTCTGTAGAGCACTCCCCCAGTCATGCGCGGGTTACGCAAGGGTTTGACTTGGGAGTCGATTGCGTCGAGTTTCCACAGTTAGTTATCGCTCTAGAGTCGCAACCTTTCGCCATTTGTCCTCCATATTTCCTTCCCAGAACGGAGTTGCGCTGCCGTTCATCGTAAACGACACCCACAATGAGATGTACGACGCGGTGCTGCACGTCGGCGACTTCGGGTACAACATGTTCAACGAGGAGGGTGAGGTGGGCGACACGTTTATGCGTCAGATCCAACCGGTAGCCGCCCACCTGCCCTACATGACCTGTCCCGGAAACCATGAGTACCACGCCAACTTCTCCAACTACAAAAACAGGTGACTTATAGTTATGAATTTGCCATTCGACAATCGACACTCCTGAATTTCACAAAAAAAAATCACATGAATAGCTCACAGCCAAATTATTCCAAGCACCACAAGCTCAATTTTATGCATTTCACGGCAGGAAAAGTTACCTGTATTGAGAAATTCGAGAAAGAAGCTCATCAAGAGAACATCAAAAGAACGCGTTCGATGATATGGCGACTTGGCGAGCACTGACCGTACCGATGCTGTTTTGCTTAGGTTTAGTATGCCCGGTGGCACGGAAGGCACGTACTACAGCTTCGACATGGGTCCCGTTCACTTCATCTCCATATCTACCGAGTTCTACTACTTCCTGGAGTACGGATTTGAACAGGTCTTCTCACAATACAATTGGCTGGTCTCCGACCTTGAGGTGAGACTTGTCACTTGCATATACCCATTATCATCGTGTGTGTGTGTGTGTGTCAGATGCCGTATGCCCTTTTCGTAAAACGTTACTCCCAAGGAGTAAAAAATAGTAACTACAGGTATACAACCTTGTCCGTCCGGATTCTGTTGTAACTTCTTGTCCGGATTCCGTAACTTTTAGGAACCGGATTCTGTTTGCTAAAAGAACGTTGTTGGACTTGAACATTTATATATCTTTAGGCCTTTTCAATCAAACCCATTCGGTTTCATTACTCCCGATTTGTATTGGGATTTGCTTTTCAAGCACTCGCGCTTTTTATGCTGCGTTCAACCTCCTGAGTTACTGTTTCCTTGCGTCGCTCAATGGAAGAATTCCCACGCACCAGATACTTGCTTATACATTATTATTTTATTTACATTTACATTATTATATAATTATTTACAGGCCGCCACTGAGCCTTCAGCTCGAGCCGCCCGACCGTGGATCGTCCTGTACGGCCACCGTCCCATGTACTGCACCAACCGGGACATGGATGACTGCACCAGGGTGCATGACAGGGTCAGGATCGGCGCTCCCAACCACGACCCACCAATGTGAGCATTGATTGTGGACGTCGGAAAGTGTTTTGCGTAGTGAGATAGTTTTATGTCATGACAGTTTTTTTTTTGTAATGATTGTGAATTACTAGCGTAGGGGACATAACTCAACCTAAACGATTTTGTTTCTAGCTCGCGTTAATGGAATCCGAATAATCTTAGATTAGTGTAACCAGCCCATCAGCTATGTTCGTCTGCTATGGGTGTTTCCTCCTAATGACCCGCCTGAAGCTCTAGTATTAGCCCCGCAAACTGTGCAACTGTTCATTATCTTACCCATTTTCAACAAAGCCTCACTCACAACACAGCGCAGAGTCCCACATGACCTTTCCTCCCCCTTTCCATACCAGTCCCGGTCTGGAGGACCTGCTGATGCAGTACGGAGTCGACCTGGCCGTCTGGGGCCACGAGCACTCGTACGAGCGCATGTGGCCGCTGTATAACTACAGGATCTACAACGGGACGGACAGCGATCCGTACCGTAACCCGGGCGCGCCAGTACACATCGTCACCGGATCAGCGGTACGTGGTGCAGAGAGGTACACGGGTATACACGGGCGAGGTACAGAGGTTGAGTGCACAGTGTACACATTTGCAGTCTGGCAGAGGCACAAGTGTGCCTGTGCCTGGCACATGTGTGCCTGTGTGTATGTTCTGGAGGTGGCTCGATGCATTTCCAGATCCATCGTTTTGTTGTCCAAAAGAGAATGGAAGAAATGAAATTCAAAATGAAGTAGGAACAAAGTGTTTATATACTGTAATACTTGGTAAATTGCAAAATATTTAGAGGTTCATATTTAGTTGCCAAGTAAGCATACCTTAGTGAAGAGCGGATTATAATTTCAGAAAACAGACCTAACTTACCATATCAATCTCCATTTCAGGGCTGCAAAGAGAACCTGAACCCGTTCTTCCCCATCAAGATGCCGTGGACGGCCTTCCGGAGTCTGGAGTACGGCTACTCCCGCTTCACGTTCCACAACACCACCCACATGTCCATCGAGCAGGTGGAGACCACCCAGGAGGGCGCCACGGCGGTCATCGACGAGGTCACGGTCGTCAGGGAGTCGCACGGGCCCTACGAGCTGCTGAAGAAGACCGAGCGCGGCTACCTCTAGGACTTAGAGGAAGCCTTTGTCTGCTATTTTAGAACCTTGCGTTCCTATTCTGAAGGAAATGGCATAGATCAATATCTAACGTTTTGATGTTTTACATTAATGATAAGTTTGATTTACCCTGAATTTTTGATCCACTCACACTGTAATTGCAACGCAGACTTGTTCAGAGTTATAACACATATTCACACATGAATGTAGATAACGGTATAAAACGGCGTTGACGATCGTTTTATGACAGCTTCATAGCATCGACGTGGAATCGTTTATCGAATGAATACATGTTGAATTATCTCCGGGGCGTGATTGACGTGCGTTAATGAAAAACATCTGATCACCTTTATTACAAACGGAATGCTGTTGCACCATTGTACAATAATGGAAGAACTATAACTCGCATCCATTGCTGTTTTGCTGTGACGGAGCACATGACGAAACATTGTGAAGGAGACTTCGGTGCGAACAATTTCACCTATCCCTTTTATAGCCTTAAAACTCACTCCCTTTATTTTTGACTTAACGGTACACCAAAGAATGACTGGTCAACAACGGCTAAGTGAAGCACTCCTCTTTGATGATGGTGACGGTATCTACCACAGAGGCGGCACCGTCCTCCCCCACGGCCACCTGCTCGATGGTCAAGTGGGTGGCGTTGTGGAAGCTCAGCCGGGTGTATCCCTCGGTGGAGCTGCGGTAGGCCGTCCATGGCATCCAATGCAGATTTTCTGGCTTCTTGTCCGTGCTCCGGCCCTGGAGAGAGTGAAATGTTATGTCTACGATGTTGAAAAACGGGCAAAGAGACGAATCATTTGAGTGGAAATGTCTTTGAAGAAATCGAAGGCTGTCTAACGAAGCTAAAGTAAGAAACAAGCAAACGTTTCGTACTTTTCTTATTGAAAATGGGTACTTGTATGTTGTAATCTGAAACAGCGCCTGAAAACGAACAGTAGCTGCCCGTCAGGCGTCAGGAGACCATGATTTCGTCAGAAGGGTCGCCCCTGGGAGATTAAAAGGAGCTCCGTTTTAGCATGCTCGTGCTTCACCTGTACGCTTTTGGGAATATGTTTTTTTTTTTCTAGATGCTCCTTGTGTACATAACTGACCAGTGACAAGTGACCCACTGTTATACTCTATTTGAATGGCATCCCACGTCCAAGTCCGTCCTCACGGAACAGACCGCCCTGGGAGCTCCTATACGTACCGCCGAGGCCGCCGTGATGTGTACCGGCGCGCCGGGGTTACGGTACGGATCACCCCCAGTATCAGTCACCGTACCGTCACGGACTGGCCACGAGCGCTGGTAGGAGTGTTCGTGAGCCCAGAGCGCAAGGTCAACGCCGGAGGAGACCAGGAGATGCTCCAGACCAGGGCTGGGAAAGGGGGGGGGTAAAGGGAAGAGGAGCGGTGTTAAGAAGAACAAATAGTGAAATTTGGCGTTAATTTCAGAAACATTAGCAGCTTAGCCATATTTAAGTGCTTAGGGAAATTCTACGTAGTATTTCTCGTCTTGAATATCAAAAGTATCCATAATATTCTATATGTTTTAGGATGTGTGGTGACTTGATGTAAATCAAATGCGTGTGACATGGATCCGGCGGTATCCGGCCCGGGCGGGGCGGCCGACCGCCGGGTCGCGGCGGCGGCCTGACCTTGGGGTCGTCAGTCGGCTCGGGAGCGCAGCGGCCGCCGGGCTGTGGTGTATTGGTATGGTGTCAGTGGTCGCCGAATACAGATACACTTCATTGGCGACGAGGACGAGATGGCGTCGTTCGGCAGCATCGGACCGTATGAAGCGGGACGAGCGGAGTCCTGGGATGAGTACTGCGAGAGGCTGGATCAATTTTTCATCGCAAATGAAGTAAGTGACCCTGCTAAGCAGAGAGCAATTTTCTTGAGTGTTGTCGGCGGGGAAACTTACGGGAAGCTAAGATCCCTTGTGGCCCCTCAGAAGCCAGGTGAGATGCCGCTCAAGGAACTGTTGACTCACTTGCAACGCCATTTTGAGCCAAGGCCTTCAGAAACAGTGGCCAGATTCAGATTTTTTACTTTTTGTCGGGCTGAGGGTCAGTCTGTGCAAGATTACATTGCAAAACTGAGGAAGCTGTCTGAACATTGTAATTTTGGTTCTTTCTTGTCCGCCATGATTCGAGATCGGTTAATTTGCGGAGTCAACTCGGACGCTATTCAGACGCGTCTATTGTCTGAAAGTAATCTCACACTGGAACGAGCTACCGAGATCGCTGTGGCTTTGGAGGCTGCTGGCCATGATGTTCAGGAACTGAGAAGTGGTTTCAGGGACAGAGAAGGTGGCAGCATCCAGGTCTCCACAGCGGACGTGCACCGAGTCGACAGAGCTCCTCGAGCGGCGGCAGAAGCGGGAGCCGACCGAGACAGGAGCACCAGGCGCTGGGGAGCCGGAGTTCGTCAGGTGACTGGTCAGAGGAGTGCAGGCGATTCTCGCAAACCAAGAAGTCCAGCGCATCCGTTGCGTCCGGAAATGATGCCAAATACCGGTGCTGGAGATGCTTAAGTGGGCCGCATCTTGACCGTAACTGCCCGTTCAAACTAAGACGCTGTTTGGAGTGTTCTAGGCTTGGACACACGCGAGCGGCTCACAGAGCAGGAACGGTTCACGTTGTAGAAGAAGACTTTGAGGTAGAGGCAGCTGAGCCGGCAGCTGAACAAGTTGGTCAGGTTGACGAAGATGTTTATGATTTGTTCAGCTGTAATAGTGCAAGCAAACGGCCCCCTATTGTCATTACAGCTGAGTTGAGTGGCAAACCAGTCCAGATGGAGCTCGACACAGGCGCTAGTGCATCACTGATCAGTGAGGAGCTCTATGAAAGTATGTGACCTGCCAGTGACCTTCCATTGCAGGACTGTCCGCAGCGGTTCCGTACCTACACCGGCGAGGAGATCAAGATCCGAGGTGTCGCCGAGGTTGACGTCGCTGTTGATGGTGCACCTGCGGTTCGACTACCGCTCATGGTGGTCCATGGAAAGGGCCCCAGCCTGTTTGGCCGCAACTGGCTTGAGAAGATACGGCTGAACTGGAACAAGCTGTTCGGTAAGTGTTCCGTGTACACGCTGTCTGCAATGTCGCATGTGCGGAAGGTGGAGGACGAGTTTCCCGCTGTTTTTCAGGAAGGACTTGGACGGTACACCGGTGGTCCAGTTTCCCTCCACCAAGAGAGTTCCGTGAAGCCTCGGTTCTTCAAGGCCCGCCCAGTTCCCCTGGCTCGGCAGCAGAGAGTCGAAGACGAGCTCAAGCGGCTAGAAGAGGCTGGCATCATCAGACCAGTAAGTCACAGCGAGTGGGCTGCTCCCATTGTTGTCGTGCCCAAACATAATGGGGAACTCCGCCTGTGTGGAGACTTCAGGCTCACTGTGAACAGAGCAACAACTTTGGAGCAATACCCATTGCCTAAGGTAGATGAACTGCTACCTAAGCTGTCTGGTTGTGCAGTGTTTAGCAAGCTGGATTTACGACAGGCCTACAATCAAGTTGAACTGTCGCCAGAGTCTCAAAAACTGGCCACAATAAATACATCAAAAGGCTTGTATAGCTTCGTCCGCCTAGCTTACGGCATTCACTCAGCCCCGGCGATTTTTCAGAGGATTATGACGTCACTGTTGGCGGGTATTCCTCATGTGACTGTATTCCTCGATGACGTCCTGGTGGGCGGACGTGATGTAGCTGAACATGACCGAGCGCTTCGTGAGGTGCTCTCTCGGATGAGCAGCGCTGGTTTACGCCTGAACAAGAAGAAATGCAGCCTCAGGGTACCAGACGTTACCTACCTGGGGTACCGGATCAGCGGAAGTGGAGTGCATCCGACTTCAGAGAAGCAGAGGGCCATACTCGAGGCACCAGCTCCAGCGGACGTGTCTCAGCTACGAGCCTGGCTGGGGCTGTTGAACTATTACAGTAAGTTCATGAAGGGAGTGTCATCAGTTTTGTCACCCCTGTACCGACTGCTGCGAAAGGGCGAAAAATGGATGTGGGGCCCTAAAGAAAATGCAGCTTTTGAGGCGGTTAAAAATCTTATTATCGATCCACCATGTTTGGCTCACTTCTATGCAAACAGGGAAACGCTTCTAGCATGTGACGCCAGCCCTTATGGCCTGGGCTGCGTTCTGTCCCAGATTGATCCGGAGGGAAAGGAGCGGCCAGTGGCGTTCTACTCCAGAACGCTGACAGACACCGAGAAGCGCTATGCCCAAACTGACAAAGAGGGTTTGGCTATTGTCTCTGGCGTCAAGAAGTTTCATTATTATCTGTGTGGCAGGCAATTCTTGATCAAAACTGACCACAAGCCATTGTTGGGGCTTCTGGGAGAAAGTAAGCCTCTTCCAGTGATGGCCTCTCCTCGCGTGCAGCGCTGGGCTATGCTTCTGTCTGCATATAACTATCGGATGACTTATTCCCCAGCCAGGGAGCAGATACACTGCGATGCGTTGAGCCGCCTACCGCTGCCTGACAAGCCACAGGATGTCCCGACTCCTGCAGAAACTGTGCAGCTGATGGAGTTTGTTAATTCTGGTCCTGTCTCGCAGAAGCAGATCCAGATCTGGACACAGGCGGATCCAGTGCTGTCACGCGTCCTGGAGCTCACCAGAAACGGCTGGACGGCAGATGCTGCGGACAACACATCAGACCTGAAGCCTTTTTTAGGTGTTGTTTTTATCCGCTGGGACTGAGAGCGTGAGATGATGTTTTTCGTACTCCAGCGTAGATGGGTAGCCATACGACTTCCACGGTAGACAGTGATGACATCAGTCATCTTTTGCAAGCTCGTTAAAGAATTTGGGCTGTACGGGGACTCGAACCCCGGGCCTTTGGATTAGCGCTCCAATGCTCTACCTCTGAGCTATACAGACCAAGTACTTTAACGAACTTTCTGCCAAGTTTTATGCGGATCATTTTTAGGTGTTGTTTTTATCCGCTGGGACTGAGAGCGTGAGATGATGTTTTTCGTACTCCAGCGTAGATGGGTAGCCATACGACTTCCACGGTAGACAGTGATGACATCAGTCATCTTTTGCAAGCTCGTTAAAGAATTTGGGCTGTACGGGGACTCGAACCCCGGGCCTGTGGATTAGCGCTCCAATGCTCTACCTCTGAGCTATGCAGACCAAGTACTTTAACGAGCTTTCTGCCAAGTTTTATGCGGATCATTTTTAGGTGTTGTTTTTATCCGCTGGGACTGAGAGCGTGAGATGATGTTTTTCGTACTCCAGCGTAGATGGGTAGCCATACGACTTCCACGGTAGACAGTGATGACATCAGTCATCTTTTGCAAGCTCGTTAAAGAATTTGGGCTGTACGGGGACTCGAACCCCGGGCCTTTGGATTAGCGCTCCGATGCTCTACCTCTGAGCTATAGATGGGATCTCTACCTTGGCAGAAAGCTCGTTAAAGTACTTGGTCTGTATAGCTCAGAGGTAGAGCATTGGAGCGCTAATCCAAAGGCCCGGGGTTCGAGTCCCCGTACAGCCCAAATTCTTTAACGAGCTTGCAAAAGATGACTGATGTCATCACTGTCTACCGTGGAAGTCGTATGGCTACCCATCTACGCTGGAGTACGAAAAACATCATCTCACGCTCTCAGTCCCAGCGGATAAAAACAACACCTAAAAATGATCCGCATAAAACTTGGCAGAAAGCTCGTTAAAGTACTTGGTCTGTATAGCTCAGAGGTAGAGCATTGGAGCGCTAATCCAAAGGCCCGGGGTTCGAGTCCCCGTACAGCCCAAATTCTTTAACGAGCTTGCAAAAGATGACTGATGTCATCACTGTCTACCGTGGAAGTCGTATGGCTACCCATCTACGCTGGAGTACGAAAAACATCATCTCAGACCTGAAGCCGTACATCAACAGGCAAGCTGAGTTGAGCATCGAAAATGGTTGCGTTTTGTGGGGCAGTAGAGTAATCATACCGCCACAGGGTCGTCACGCTATGTTGTGTCAGCTGCATGAGGGTCATTTTGGTGTGGCCCGCATGCAAAGTTTTGGCAGGATGCACTTCTGGTGGCCGGGCTTTGACCAGGACGTAGAGAGGATGGCTGCAGGATGCCGTAGCTGCCAACGCTGGAGGAATGCGGCGCCTCCAACGCCTCTGCATCCATGGGAGTGGCCCCGCTCTCCCTGGCAACGGCTCCATGTCGACTATTGCGGACCTGTCAACGGGGTGATGCTTCTTGTCATCATCGATGCTCACAGTAAGTGGATGGATGTGCACATGACCAGAACATCCTCGGCTGAGGTTACCATTGAAAGTTGAGGGAAACATTTGCATGTCACGGAGTTCCGGAGACTGTGGTCACAGACAATGCCAGATACTTTGTGTGTCCGGAGTTTAAAACGTTTTGTAAGCGAAATGGAGTCAGACATGTCACCTCTCCACCGTACTCGCCTCATTCAAACGGTCTTGTGAAGAGAGCTGTGCAGACGCTGAAGCAGGGCCTACAACGTCAGTCTACAGGTAGCCTGAGTACTCGTCTGTCGAGGTTTTTGTTCCGCTACCGCAGTATGCCCCACAGCGTGACGCAGCAGTCTCCCGCTGAGATGCTCCTCGGCCGGCCAATGCGGACTCAGCTGGACCTGCTGCGTGAAGACGCCAGACGGAGCGTGATGGAGGCGTACCAGAGGAAGCAGAAGGCTCAGTATGACGTGAGAGCACAGCCTCGCATATTCCAGGTGGGAGACAAAGTGTACATGTATGTTCTTCCTCCCGCTACGTCCGGCCCGAGGTGGCTGCCCGGAACAGTCCGACAGGTCGATGGCTGTTCATGTTGGATTTTGCTGGAGGATGGGAGGACCTTCCGCAGACATTTTGATCATGTGAGACTCAGACCCGTTCCCCTTCCAGACGTGTCGGTGCCGAACCACGAGTACCGGCGGACGATGGTGCCAGATGAGCCTCCGGACTCCTCTGCTCTGGACAGCGCCGCTCACGCCGTCGCCGGAGAATCCAGAGACGCGACTGTGGGCGGTGCGGAGGCGTCAGAGACCGGCGCCCTCCCCTCTGAGAAGTGCGCGGACGTCGGACGACATCCCTCGACGTCGTCGCCGTCTCCGCCGTCGCGGTTCGAGGCTGCGACCGCTTCTGCGCCGGTGCCGCGTCGTTCAGCGCGGGAGAGGCGTTGCCCAGTGCGATTCCGGGCGGGGCAGTCTAATCCTGTGGGGGAGGAGTGTGGTGACTTGATTAAATCAAATGCGTGTGACATGGATCCGGCGGTATCCGGCCCGGGCGGGGCGGCCGACCGCCGGGTCGCGGCGGCGGCCTGACCTTGGGGTCGTCAGTCGGGTCGGGAGCGCAGCGGTCGCCGGGCTGTGGTGTATTGGTATGGTGTCAGTGGTCGCCGAATACAGATACACTTCAGGATGTATGCATGATACTGTTAAACCACATTATCAAACGGTAGACCAATGTGCTCTAACTCACAGGGCTGGCTTGAACTCGTCCTCTCCGACTCTGAGCCGGTCGTGCCACTCAGTGCAGGCGTGGTTGGGCTTGTGGCTACAGTACATTGGCCGGTGGCCAAACAGCACTATCCAGGGACGAACATTTCGGATTGATCGCTGGTTGGCAGCCTGGAGACAAAGATTAGAAGGCATATTGCGACAGTGGATGGAACGACGGTGAATGGGCTTGCTAGCCAAGTGGCTGCTGGATAGAAGCTTATGTAAAGTTATGAAGAAAAAAATCATACTGGTCTTTCTTATAGCTAATACTTCCCCAAGTGCCTATCAATTTTTGCACAAAAGTGAACAAATTTGAGATAAAAATAAACTACACGTTTGATGGGAAAAGCATATCAAAATGTTCCAAGGCTATAGATTTGCCAACGGAAAGTCTCCACAAAAGCCTGCGTTCGGTCTGTTTTAGGCAACAAAGCAAAAAACTCACCGCCAAATCAGCACGCAGCCAGTTATACTGCGAGAAAACCTGTTCAAATCCGTACTCCAGGAAGTAGTAGAACTCGGTAGATATGGAGATGAAATGGACGGGACCCATATTGAAGCTGTAGTACATGCCTTCCGTTCCACCGGGCATACTAAACCTGATCATCACATTCAATGAGCGCGGTCAGTTATTTTGACACTTGCTTGTAAGACACTGCATTGAAAAATTGTTTCAAGTAACTATTTCTCAAAAGAATTTAAAGCAATTATTAGATTTAATTTAATTCAATTTGATTTCATTGTGCAAGAAAAAGAAATGAATTATAGGAGGTAATTACCAGCAATCAAAAGTGAAACCCAAACCGGTCATTTATTCTTCTTACTTTATAATGAAAACACTGAACATCGAAGATTAGCTGCTACCTGTTTTTGTAGTTGGAGAAGTTGGCGCGCTGCTCGTGGTTGCCGGGACAGGTCATGTAGGGCAGGTGGGCGGCCACCGGCTGGATCTGACGCAGGAACTCGTCACCCTTGGTGCCGTTGTCGGTGAACATGTCGTAGGCGAAGTCGCCGACGTGCAGCACCGCGTCGTACATGCCCTCACGGGTATCGTTCACGAGAAATGGCAGCGTGGAGGGATTCTGTAGATCAGAATAGATGCCAGTGAGCTCATCCAATCGCACTGCTGTTGCCAGTTAAGGTTGGCGCCAACCGATGATCATGCGGGCACCCATGGGAGGTATTTCCGCATTAATCAAAATTACTGGACATATGGAGATAAAACGTTTTGCGATGCGAGAGGTGGCGTGGCGCGTAAAATTTTGTCATTTTCAACAATAACGGCCGAAACTAATAGGTGAAGCGTGAGACACAAGAACACTGTCACTAAACGCTGAGAGACTAAATAATGCTTCAGGCTGAACACAAGCCTGAAGTAACTTTCGATTACTGTCTATCTAATCCAAACAAGCCAAGTGGCTGCCAATGTGTACTTGTATGTGTCAATGTGTACTTGTACCCAAACAAGTACACATTTGGAGCCGAATACCATCAGATCTAACAGTATTATGTGGCTCTTATACAAAGGCTGGTCTCGCTTGACGCGCCGCCTGCACTGGCCCAAGTTGTACAGCGTCGCTCGGACGTGTCACAGAGACACACCCGATGCTCCCACGGACATCAGTTGGAGCTACCTAAAATTAAGAGTGAGCGAGCGAGGCGCTGTTTCCCTTACAGATCTGTGTCCACGTGGAACAGCGTTGGCGGGGTCGGCAGCGGATGAAAAACCATGTATTTTAGATGTCTTTTATTTCTTACGGTGTTTAGTGTTTCGCTATTGCGTTGATTTTAGCCTTTTATGTACGTACTGCGTAATGATTCACGTGTTTGTCAGCGAATTTTAATACTTGTATGTACACGACGAGAGGGCTGAAAAGCCATTTAAATGGAGACCTCAATACACTGGATTTGGATTTGGATTTGGATTTGGATTTACCGAAAAGCTCTAACGTAGCGGTTTTCCTGTCTCCCTATCAAAGAGATTTTAAGCAGATTTAGGTATATCTCGCTCGCTAGGAGTTAAACATATTTGAATACATCTTACCGTGCCCATGTCCGCGACCACGGCCAGCCGGGGGCTCCAGTCGCTTCCCTCGGGTATGGCTCTGAACCAGAACACCTCAGACCATCCGGCCGGACCGAGCACCTGGTAGACGTGCCGCTCCCCCGGACACAGACCGGGCAGAGACACGCTGAAAAGAACGTAGGGGAAGGTGGGGTAAGACGGCCCAGCGGGGCAAGACGGACCACCAGCCCTCCCGGCTGAACCGCTGCTGGTATCTACTGCTTTATGCACTCACTATGTTTGTTTTCCTTCGTAACAATGGCCACCTTGAGCTCATGCTGCTAGGATGCATAGCCTTTGAGTTATTGAGAAAAATGTTGTTTTTCGTCAAACCGATCTAATATAAGAGGTCTACGGGTGATTCAATTACGGCGCCTTTCTTGCATGATTAGTTTCTATTTTGCACTTAACTGTGAAGAACAAAGTTATAAACTTAGTTATAGTCACACTTTAGGAAAGGCAAGGTTTTGCAATGTTGGGCTATTTGACATATGCGTCATGATAATGACAGAATTTAGCTTTGGGGCAAGACGGACCACTGTGGTCCATCTTACCCTGCGGTGGTCCATTGTACCCTGCATATGGAAAGTTCTTTTCCAAAACATTGACACAAGTTAAAGTAAGCTAATTTTTCAGGAAGGAGTCTTTGTTGCATGTGAGCCATGCATGCAAGTGCTCAGTTAGCATGCATTCATGTTAAACGACAAGCAACACACATGTTCCCAGCTTTTAGCTGCACTTCCATCACACATGAGGAAAGAATAAAGGCTCATTTTGTTATTTTACCATTCTGGTTACTTTTTCTTACAAGAGTACAGAGCAGAAGTGTAACACACATGAACGGATAGCAGGCACTGCTGGGTGGTCCGTCTTACCCCACATTTTTTATTGTCTGAGTTTTTGACATGTCCCTCTTTAAGAGCATCCACCACCTAGATTTCTTTAATATGAAATTTAGTCTTTACACATATCAACAGAGGAAGGATTGAGCATTCCGAAGACTATAAATAATATGAATTACGAGAGCAGTGTAGCAAGATATGCGGCCTCAAACCTTAGCTGGTCCGTCTTACCCCACCTTCCCCTATTGCTATGAGGTTGTAAATAAATAATCGATAAAATAATCGCATTTCATTCATCGAGGGCTCAAATTCTGATTGACGAATTTAGCAAGACAATATCCAAACACTCTCTCTAGCTAGAAGTCGAAAACTATCCAGATGTCGCAACCCCAAAGACATTGAGCTAGCGTGAAATTCAGGAGTAATTGTCAAGATTTGCAGCGCTGATATCAAAACATCCATATCAGATGCATATAAAGTTGCTTCTTTCAGGCATCGCTTTTTTATCTATCGCTGATCGTTTCCATACTGATGATGACGATGCTGATAAAAAATACTTTACATCCTACCCGTACAAATGAAGCATACTTTGTGGTCATTTTCGCTGAAAAGTACCCATATCAGCAATGATAATACCTTCAACGCTTACCGATTGATATACTGAAGATGAGTGCCAGCGGCATCCTGTGCAAACGGGGTCGATGACCCTTCGACCTGCCGAGGGTGGTAGATTTATAATTAATTCGTATTCCAATTCAAATAACCAGATTTATAATTATTGCGTTTTCTTTTCTTTTTTAAAGCGCCAACACATGGATGCTCTAATTATCGATAAATGTCGAGTTGAAACGCCCTCTGCCGTTATACTCGTAGCAGTCCAGAAAAAATGGCTAACTTTAATTATTGAGGATCTATTACTCTCATATTTCTCCCGACTTCCATCTTCGAGTACTTTGCCTCGCTCTTACCAGTGTGTCGGGCTGGTCTGTGCCGTATCTGGCCGAGGCCTTCACCGGCTGGAAGGTGCTGTAGGTGACCTGGATGGTGGTGACGTCATCGGTGAAGGACAGGTGAATCTGTTCGGCGCCGCTGTTGTCGGCTACCGAACACACTCCTCCCAGCAGAACAGCCACCACCACCAGCAGCAGTGGTGGTGTCGGTAACATTTGTCTCGTAGACTTGCTCCAGAAAGAAAGTCGGTAATGGTGGATTCGATGACAGCATTAATTGCTTTTTGTGTGCTAGAAATGTGTCAAATAATAATGCTCGCATTTTTACATTGTGATTTATATGAGTTCAAAATCAGGTCGCAGGTTGATATGCATAGGTCATGTTGTATACAGACGATTTTGCTGGATTGTAAATGCATATTGTTGCATTCCAAATGGCATCAATGTGCATTCTACTTAGAATCACATTCACATGAACGTGGGAAGATTTTATAAGCAAGGTATGAATGCACCTGAGATTTTGTCTCAAATAATAACAAATGTCTAAAGTCTAAAAAGATGGCGAGCAGCACATGCAGTTAGTGACAGACCGCCACTCATGTTCTAAACGACTAAATTTTAAGGGTATAGGCACAGATAACAGTAGAACAGTAGTACTACTGTTATCTGTGGTATAGGTAGGTATAGGTCTGATTATATGCTGAGCGATTAGGCAATAACCTTGCGAAGAAAAACTATTAAAAAGGCGATATTTGATATTTGACAATGTTTAGCAGTCTGATAATAGCGATGACGGTGAGCGTGAATTTTCAAATTCGCCTTGAAGAGATTTAGTGATTTTACCCGTTTGCAATAAAATACACTTATTCATATGCATCAAAGTTTATTCGGCAGTGTTTTCTGTAAGAATAGTATCATAGGCACGAGAGATGAACACGGCGGTTCGTAGTGACATTGGATGCCCGTAGTTATTATCATCGATATCTAAGTCCGTGCCTATGCAAGACACCCATTTAGGTTTCTCAGAGCTTATGTAACCCTGCAGTGCAGACAGCTCGGCCGTGCGTATACTGGCGACACAGGCGAATGGCACAGAAGACTGCGAGCACCTCCTCAGCGGTTTGCGAGGTCAACTAATGCTCACACGATGATGCACGCACACGCATTAATTCCCTCATAGAGGTTTCGTTACCTTTCTGTTCCTTGTCGGCACGTGCGAGCGAGATATGGGACAATGTCCCAAAATCAACACTTATAAACATAGTGCAGTGTTCAGTCAGAAGTGCAGCCAGTGCGCGACACTCTCTTCCTGCGTTGGGAGGTAAGCAGCCCCCAGTTACTTACTCAAATTTTACTTTTCAAAACATTTTTTGTGTGGATGTTTTATGTTTGTTGATATCAACGTGACCGAAGCTGGCTGATTTTCATGCAACTGTTTCGCTTTTGGTTTTATCACCTTATTTATTCTGAATTTAGTTCGTTCGCCATGTTGTTGACACCTTTTAGTAGAAATTTGAATGAACTCTGATTGACCGTTATTCTCTCAGCCGATTTCACTGAGCACAATCTGAAAGGGCAACACACAAATTCACTGTTGGATTCCACTCCATCCCTATAAATCACAGCCCCCGCACCACGCCCCTACTTCTGGCTCTTTCTGGAAACTTCATCGGGAGCCTTCCCGTGAACGGTCACAATTTTATCGATAAAACCCTGCTGGGGGCTGGAACCCGGCCCGCCGTGACCCTGGAGCTCGCGCGGCGCACTACGCAGATGCGTATCGATTCCGGGGCCTCCCACGGCAGAGTGGCACGCACGTTCAGTCGTGTTCAGTCCCTCGGCCCGGCAGGAAGGATAGTGAACATCTAACCGAACAGCAGGCTGTGGTGAGTTAACGCTGACGCTTTGCAAGGAATTGCGGATTTAACATGTGCACATATTGTGTAGGCCATGTTAAATTTCCCTAGAAATGTCTTAACTCTTAACAAATAAGTTTAATGTTAAGTTTATTATGTAAATGTCAATTAAAATAATTTAAATTGCTGCTAATCACCAGAGAAGAGCTTTAACCCGCGCCGTGCTGGTGGCCTGAACTTTCCGCCGAGTGCTGGGGGGGGGGGGCGTTTTCACGCCCCCCCCGTCTAACTCGGCTCCTGGGCCACGTAGCGACACGCGGTAAGCGGCAATCGAAAGAGCGTCAAAAATAAGGACGAAAACACTTCGGTCATTTTTTGGGTCAGGTCAAAGGTCAGGTCACCAGAGGTCACCAAAGGTAAAATGTTGACTATTTCAACATTTTGGAAACTGCCAACGGCTATCTCGGGAACCGATAGAGCTACAGCGCCGCGGAAAAGCGCATTCGATAGCCCTTTTACAGACCTTTCTGAGTAATGTTCTCAGATTTGACCTCAGGTCAACGGTTTAGCCTCCAGAGGGCAAAAACTCCAAAATAGCCGTTTTTACGAAAAACGTTTTTTCGTCAATAACTTTTGACTCATAAGCGCCATGACATTACTTTTGCCAGCATCGTGTTCCTCTCGTCGAGACGCGTCGAATGAACTATTCGTTGACCTTGAAAGGTCATTTTGAAAATATGACCTCAGGTCAAGGTCATGACCTAACCGAAAAGGGTCATGTTGCATATCAGTCGATCCGTATCGTCGAGCTGAACACATCTGACGTGTTTTCACCGCTCTAGCACGTCTCTATCAAAAGTTATAGCCAAAAAACTGCTGGCGACCGTTCATGACCTGAGATGACCTCAGGGGCACACAGAGGGGTCACAGGTGCATTTTTCCTATTCAGTGTGTCATGTTTACCTATGAACCGATGTTTGAGAGCGTTTTGAACGATATTCGTCCAAAAGAGGCGCATTTCAATTTTCTCCCATTGACTTATAATGGAGAGGTCGCAAAATTGACCTGACCTTAGGTCACAGATATCAAAAATCCGAGATATACATTTTATACATACTGTTACTCATATCAATCGCTGAAAGTTTCAAAGTGATCGTTCAGTCGGTGTAGCTATAGCGAGCCTTTGAACTTTTTCTGAGGTAAGGTCACTTGACGTGACCTGGTGACCTGACCTTGAACGGCCTAGGTCTGAAATTTTCACAAAATGTGCGGAAATGATGTAGGAACACGTGTACCAAAAACGGCGGCGCTGCGCGCCGCCGTTTTTGAGATATTCGCGAAAAACCTGAGGGGGGGGGGCGTAAAAACGCCCCCCCCCAGCACGGCGCGGGTTAATAAGGCAGGGCAATTCTTATGGATGCTGGATAGTATTCGAGCATGCGTTGCTTTCATTACGTAACACTCAACCTGACAGATTTCATTGCATAACTGATTCAACGCAGCTTCAGAAATTTCCAGATCCCTCCAGATGTAGGTATATGACATTTGGGAAAAGTATTCATCCACTCCGTCTCCCCTCCCCGTAAACAGCTGGCCGCCGTCAGCTGACCCGGCTGTGACGTCACAGACACAGACAGCGAGACACCGGAAAGGAATACGATCCATTACTGCTGGGGCGAGGGGGCGGGAGGGAAAGCGGACATTCATTACTGGTCCATGTCATACCAGAACTACGCCATAATGACAACAGACGAGCCTGGCACACATTGCCGCCAGATGTGGATAGTTACGCAGGTGTGTGACGTCATGTTGCGTTGTGAGACGGGCCAGCACGGCATCTATAAACACCGACGGGAGAGGTGACAGAGAGGACGTCGGTGCCGACAGTCGACGGCGGCACGCGGACCGACGGGGACGGTGGTGACTTTCAGTGGGACCTACAGTGACTTCATACAGTGACAGACAGTGGGAGCATGCAGTGACATACAGTGACATACAGTGACATACAGTGGGAGCATACAGTGGCATACAGTGGCATACAGTGCGGTGACATACAGCGGGAACATACAGTGACAGTTTACAGTGGCATGCATTGACATTCAGTCGGAATTTACAGAGACATACAACGGAAACTAACAGTGACATACAGTGACATACAGTGGGAACTTACAGTGTGGTGACATACATTAACACATACAGTCGAAACTTAGAGTGACATACAGCGCAAACCAGTGTCATACAGTGACATACGGTGGGAACTTACAGTGTCATACAGTACAGCGACATACAGTGTCGGAACTTACAGTGTCATACAGTGACATACTGTGGGAACATGCAGTGACATACAATGGCATACAGTGACACACAGGAGGAGGCGGTGAGCGGAGACGGCCAGGGACCGACCAGTGCGGGACCGTATCGATATATGGGACAGACGGACTGAAGTCTGAGGCGGTCACATGTGGCTTTCTGCACTGAAGTGACTTACGGACATTGGCAATAAGCAGAAACTGGCCACAGAGACGGGAAACAGACTATTCGGCTCTGACTGCAGAGCGAGGGGAGCAGAGAGAAAGGTGGTGACTATGTAGGTGCAGAGACGGACTGAGGTGGGTCACTGAGACGGGAACGGACGAATAATTACAAACAGGCACGGACAGTGCATGTACTTATACGGACGACACTGACAGTAGAAAGTAAGAGGACGACTGACACAGTCGAAAGCGCACATAGACAGTCGTAAATACCTGACATGGGCAGGGGTGTGTACTGTGTACCTACCAGCGGCGGCGTGCCGAGCGGAGTGGATCTGAGGGCAGTCTGTTTCAGGATCCGGTGCCGACGGGACCCGGAGCACGAGAGCGATGACGTCGGACGTGATGTGCGACTTCCCGATCATCGACATCAGCGATCTAGGTAAGGTGCTTCAATTATGCATGCGTTTATTATATTTGTTCCCAAACATTTCATTTTTACGTGTAAGCATTTCGGTATCGTTCAACGTTTTCTTGTAAAAAGGAAGCATGCGCTGTCCTACTTCCAAGCGCATGCGGTAGAGCCACGATTTTTCTTCACATTATACAATGAACTGTTTTTGCCACTTAAGTAAAAATTAAACAAAACTTGCAACGTGAACCTTTGCCCGTTTCGTCCAGCTGAGCCGCAGGAGACGCCTTCTGTCGAGGTGCTGCTGGCTGTCGGACGAAGAGTGGTGGACGCTTTCCAGCGGTCCGGCTTCGTCTACCTGCGAGGTCACGGCATCGACGCCAGCCTTCAGAGGGAAACCTTCGCCGCCTCGCGAGACTTCTTCGCGCTCGACGAGGCGTCGAAGCGGCGTTTTGCGCGTTTCGAGAAGACGGGCTTCAACGGTTACACAGCTGTGGGAGGGGAGAACACTGGACGACTGACGGAGGCTGATCTGCTGGATTTGAAGGAGTGCTACGACTTTCAGGTCATCGGTCAGGTGAGGCACCGTGGGAAAAGAGATGAGAGAGAGAGAGAGAGAGAGAGAGAGAGAGAGAGAGAGAGAGAGAGAGAGAGAGAGAGAGAGAGAGAGAGAGAGAGAGAGAGAGAGAGAGAGAGAGAGAGAGAGAGAGAGAGAGAGGGTGGTAGAGAGAAAGGAGCCGGGTTGCCTCAGCTGTATGCGCTTTATTCGGCAGTTTGTAACCAGTGTCGTTCTTCTTTGCCGCCAGGACTACCCGGACTCGGTGCTGCCCGGATTCTGCCAGCAGCTGGAGCAGCTGGCCAGGGCCTGCTGCCTGCTGAGCGGCCGGCTGCTGGCAGCCGTGCAGGAGGTGCTGCTGGACCAGCAGCCGGCGGCTGACAGCCAGCAGCAGGCAGCCGATCCTCAGCAGCAGCAGCAGATGAACGGTAACCAAGAGGAGACTGATCAGCGCCAGATCTCCAGCGACCTCTCTGATCATCCGTCGCAGTCAGACTCCGATAAACTCCAGACTGATCTTCAGGCGGTACCGGACCCTCCTCTGACCACCACAGAGCCTCCCGTGACCACCAGTGAGCCGTCGCTGACCTCCCGCGGCCCTCTGACCTCTGCCCACCGGCGGATGCTGGTGCCGGGCGGCTGCTCGGCGCTGAGGGTCCTCAACTACCCCCCGGTACCGGAGGGTGCTGCCGAGGCCGGCGCTGTCCGCTGTGCGCCTCACACCGACTACGGCAGCCTGACGCTGCTCTTCCAGGACCAGCTCGGAGGACTGGAGGTAAGATGTCGGGGACATTAGCTCGGTTAACTTTAAGTAAGCCGTCAATAGGAGCAGTGTACTGTGGTGGATTTGATATGGATGTTTTCAGATGGCAATGACATGATCATTTTGAGAAAGTAGATCAGCCATTGAAGCTACCTAGTTATTATACGCTTAGGGATGTCTCAATTGATTTCATGAAGCCGGAGCTCTGTCGTCAGTTTTGAAAAGATCGTGGTAGTATGAGACCCATCACCAACCTACCACGGGCGACGGTAGCGCCACGATCGTGAGTGAGAGACCGCCGAAACTGCACTTCAAACGGTGACCACCAGAGGCAGAGCCCATTGCTGTTTTGGAGCCGAGCCAGGCCAGGCCTGCTAGCAGAGGCAGGGGCGGACGAAGCTCATTGCTGCTCACATCTCAACAATATTGCAGATATATTTTTCTTACGTCTTAACCCTCGCCCGCACATGCCATTTTCCCATCCTAGAACGCACATGGGGGGGGGGGGGGGTTGCCACCCCCCGCGCCATTTCGTTCCTGTTGGAGATAGAGCTTAGCAGTAAAGACCAAAAAGATTCTTTGGGAAGAGACGAATCCAATGATACCCAGTTTTACCTTCTCAGGTCAGTCATTGACCTTCCAGGTCAGGTCAAACTAAAAAATGTTGCTGTTTTGGGTCACCGTTGGATATCAAGTGCGCTGCTTATCAAATACCGATGACGATGCTGTTTTCTGGTGCCAAGCCAGCTAGAACCTCTTTGTCACACTATCCGACCAGAATTTTGCTGCTGAGGTCATTTCAGGTCAAGTTAGGTCAAGGTCAATTATATGTGTTTGTATGTCTGTGTGTGTCTGTGTGTATGCTGATGTGTGCACCGATTGTTTTTGGGTCCATATCACATGAAATCATGATCTGAGAAGCTTTTACCAAAAATGCAGTCAAAAAACTTCACAAAAAGTAAATTCAGCTTGCCTAAAACGCAATTATCTTAGATGACCTAGGTTGACCTTGACCCTGACCTTGACCCCTGTACATCGTCGAACAACATGTTTCATGATAGGTGGGAGGTAAGACTGGCAAAAAAAGGCCGAAATCAGGGTGTCAAAAGCTCACAAGGCCCATGGCAAACGCAAGATGTTGAGAATTGGCCATTTGGGTCATGACATGACCTGAAAAACAAGGTCATATCTCCGAAACCAAAAATCACAGAAGCTTGAAATTTTCAGTGGACATCAAGAAAGGATGGACGAGCAGCTATACGAAAAATCAGCCTTCTAGCTCTAAAAATGTTGAGTGCAGAGCAGAAAGACTGCCTGGGGGGGGTGGCAACCCCCCCCCCCCATGTGCGGGCGAGGGTTAATCGACCCTCAGTCCGTCGATTTCTGGAGAAATACGATATTTTATTCGAACTGAATTAAAAGTGTTCGCTGGACGTGTAAGGGGCTTAGGGTGTGGAAAAGGAGGGTTTCGCGAGGCCTGAGAGCTGTGAGGCACTATAGTGGCCGCCCAGACCAATATCCCTCCCTCTGTCATCACACCGCCTTGAAATAGTTTCATCAGGCCATATTAGGCCTAAAGGGTCGAACCCAGCAAAACAAACATATAATACGCAGGAACAACCGAGTGGCCGCCGCTGGAAAAGTTATGCCCCAAATTTCCTAGTCATTTGAAAACTGAAAGTTGAAGATATGATGTTGAAATATTCAGGCAGATTAGGCAGAATTCACTGGAACGTCGTTTTGTTCATTTATTTATTCATTTGTTTATTTATTTATTTTTTGTTTGAAAAGACAACTAGCTCAGAGACACTCTCACACCTCTCCTTTTCTTCCCTCAGGTGGAGTCGGCTGACGGCGGCTGGCGTCCGGCTCCCCCTCTGGAGGACGCCATCCTGGTCAACGTCGGTGACCTCATGGAGGTGTGGTCCTCTGGCCGTCTGCGCGCCACCAAACACCGGGTGGTCGTGCCCCAGCAGGAGCTGCTGCGCCGGCGCGCCCGCCAGTCGATCGCGATGTTCGTCGATCCCGACGATGACGTTCTGGTGCGCCCTCTGGACGACGACAAGCGGTTCGCGCCGGTCAACTGCGGCCAGTCGCTGCGGGAAAAATTTGCCAAGACGTACCCGGCGTTTGCCGAGTGGCAGCGCTCGAGATGTGAGGAGGATAAGAAGGCTAGGGTGGAGTAGTGAATTCACTCACAGCATAGACAGGAGGATTATATGAGGCTGCGATATATCACTCCCGTTGATGGAGAACTGTTGGGTTGCAGATGCTGTTTCCGAGAGCTGCAGCTGTGTTTGTATTTGGGGCTCACCCCACGGGAATGACTTACTCCGTCTGAACAGCGAGTAGCTGGACGAACAACACACAGGTGTTACTAGTAGCTGGACGAACATATACCCAACACACGGGTGTTACTAAGTGTGAGAATGTGGAGCTCTGGATGCACTATCTCCTTTCGTATACTTCAGTGCGAGTACAGACAAGGTAGCACCATTTTTCATCAATCGGTAGTTAGCAGTGGACTTTCATAGGCAGTATAGCCAGTATGGCATGAAGTAGTTCGGAAGTTATCTGCAGTAGTTGCCAGTTGGCCGGAACGCTCGTTGTATTTACGGCTTAGATAGGTACGGCTGCCATTTTTGTTGCTCATGTACGGTTTTGCACATCATAGTTTTACATTACTTGGATAGGTTAAGGATGTAGGCTGTATTTTCAGAATATACGATATCAAAGATAATATGTTTTTTTATAGCTTGTAAGGGTTTCTTTAGGGCCGACCACCAAAACTATCGCGCTGGTTAAATACAACTACCGGTAAAAGTATTGCTTGCCATGTTGCTGGTGTTAGAACGCATGTTTGCTTGTTTTCGGAAATTCATCAGCGCTCCGTAACGGTGACCTCACAATGCCATTTCCTCGAGTCAATACGATTGGAAGGTATCAGTCAGACCCATCCGGAGCCCGAGAACCGATCGGTGCTGTCAGCAGTCCCGGGATAGCCTCATCTCGACGCTTCAATCGAGACTAAACACCAGCCTTCCAGTGGACTTTGGCAGCTTTTCTGAAAGCTCCGGCCGACTCCCACCATCCGATGGATGGCTTCTTGAAACATGCGCGGAGCGCACACTGCACAGGGAAGGACGCTTATTGATCTTTTTGATAGGGGACTGATAACTCAAGTCGCAGAATACCAGCGATGTTTGTCAGTCAAAATAAAAAGGAGCGTAGTCACATTTCCTCCAAGCTCGCCGAGCCAAGGGATGGTCAAAGGCAATGTTATCAAACTGTTCTGAGATCTGTTTGATTGATGCTGCTGCCATTAGCTTAAAGGTAGTGTGCCACCTTTGAAAGATTTCCCATTTTATTTTTCCTAGGATAAGAAGCTTCTGTTTTTACCTAATATCGCAAAAAAAAATCAAAAATGGGCCTGGAATAGTGCCTTTTTTGCATGGGCGCCGCCACCGGGGGGACGGGGGGGACGCGTCCCCCCCCCCACTCTCAGAATGGAAGGGGGACGTCCCCCCAAACTCATTACGGAGCGAGCGAAGCGAGCGTAATCTTTCGTAGGTTAACGGAAATTTCTGAGTATGCCGTGGTCACGCTCTTGCTAGGCGTGACCGGTCAAGTGGTCTCAGCAACCACTTGACCGATTTACATGCGGTAATTTTTGTAGGGTAGCACTAGATTCATTCCTTCTAACGAGCATCGGACTATTCCCGATGCATGTGAGTGACCCCATATGCACGTGCCACGTGAAAAACGAAGAGGTGTCAGTTTTGTAACAATTTCAATATCTCGGCAACTACTGGGCCGATTGCGCTGAAAGTTGGCATGTAGGTAGGTATACCCACTAGACAATGCATATCCATCGTTAGGGACCGGTTAGAAGGGTGCAGTGCACAAGTTAGTTGTAGGTATCCCCTCGCAATTTCGCACGTGCAAGGCCCACCCCATCCTCTCGCTCGCTCCGTTGGTCGCCCCAAAAGACGTTTTACTGGTTGTTATCCTACTCGAAATTTGATTAGGCCCTTCTGTCCAATGAAACCATTTCAGAGCCGCAAGTATGAAAGAATTAGTGGGAGCCATTGGTCGGGGCAGCCACCCCAGTGAGCCACTTGGGATGAGCCCGACCAATTGAACAGGCAGCCCAGCCCACTGGCACTCACTGCACCCGGCAAAGGACTATAGCTCCAGTGGAGCCATTCCCGCATGGGATAGAGTTGCCCGTCCAGCCCGGAGCAGGGCGTGGAGGAGAAGGATTTGACTGTCCTGAGGATGGAAGAGATGGAACGGCCGGTGCCGAATCTGAGAGGGTCCAGGAGGTTTAGATACTCAGAATATGGGGTGTGGGCCTACATGCATTGGTCTGACCCCTGCCACCTCGGCCAACAAAATCTCCAGCTCTTATCCGACCTGTCATCGCGGGACTGCCGATTTTTGATATCGTGATCAACGTGTGTCGTATAACACGACTGGCCGAACACGGGCCTAATATATTTCGTCTAACCAGCCAAGAACATGACTTTACACCAATCCGACCTCGAAGTCAAAATCCGAACATTTTCGAAGACTTCAACTCCGACTCTGGCCAAAACTGGCCAAACAGTCAACTCCGACTGATTCCGGCTCCGACCCCACACTTCTGCAGTCACGCTACACTAAATTTCCAGCTTCTAAGAAATAAGCTATATAGACCACAAAACTTTGAGGCGACTTGACTACTTGACTTGGTTTTCCTGAGCTAAGGTTTTCTGGTATCAAGCTTGTTACACGGGCTGCAAAATTGGTATTTTGGAGCAGTTTTGCCTAATGTTTTTTTTTTTGCCAATTTTCGCGGCGCTTCGCGCCGATTCGTGCACAAACCAAAAAGAGAGATTTGTGACTATACAAGCCCCCTCCCCCACGCGGGTATGCAATATGCATTACCTATGCAATATGCATTATCGATCATATTAGTGGCATACATCAGCAATTATACCGTGATAGAACACGAGGCTTTGCCGTGTCAAACTGAATCGGACATCAGATGTGTAGGTATATAGGTAGGTACTCTGTGGGAATGCGGTCTATAGCCATTAGCCATTACTTTAAGCCGGAAATACCTAACCTAAACTACTTTCCTCAAACCAGTTGTTTTGCCACAGTTTATGAGTTTTTAAACTTAAAATGGTCAGGAAATAATGAATATTTGCAAAAGGACTTTATATTTATCTTTACATCACTATTTTCCATCTTTCGTAGAGGCTACTTACCTATAGGTATTGCAGCGGAAGCTGATTACGCGTTGACCAAGCAAAGTACGTAGTTCAAACCAGCTGAATGCTGATTGGCTAGCATTTTTCCGTAAGGGAATGGATTCCTCGGTAAGAGAATGACGAAGTGTAATCTATGGGAATGACTTCAGTCTTCAAACCTAAAATCGATACCGATATATTTGGCTATAAGGATAATCGTTGGCCATAAAAGCTCCTGATTTGTTCTCGTCTCAGCTCAACAAGCTAGTGCTACAACGCTGTTACTTCAGTTCAAAACCCTATGTAAAAAGTGGCATATTTGCTTTAAACGTTGAATGCATCCGAAAAGCCACGGTAAGAATGTCTACTTTTGGGTTTTCAGTCGGTCAGTCCGTCCCCCCCAGTCAAAAATCCGTGGCGGCGCCCCTGCTTTTTTGCCTAAAAGTTTTTCGGTTTTTAGATATGTATAACAACTGTAGTGGGCTCACCTGCAAACAGGCGTCGGGCAACAATCGCGAATGCGGCGCACTTGTGACAATAAGCAAAGGTCATTATAGTGTTACGACCATACGACGTACGGGAATGAGCTATCAGCTGTCTAATCGTAGACAACACAATGTCGAGCCTTAAACTGTAAGCCCGTATTGGTATTGTTTCTTTTATTTGGCTGTCGAACATTATTTATGGTTTGAAATATGATTTTATGTAAAATAATTGATATGAAAAAGCCGTCTTATAAGTTATGACCCCATTTCACCACACGCAAGTGGCAGAAATGACAATGATCAGCTGACGCATTTTTCTTGGCCGAAGTCAGAGCGCGCGGCCCGACGCACCACGCGTATTTGGAAATTCCGACCTCGACGAGCATCAGAAGCCACCTAACAGGCGTGTTCGAAACCGCAGGAGATGATGATGAACGGGTTTATCGAAACTTGATTGGATGAGCATATCGGTAATAGCGATTTCAGTGTGTGCATTTATTGTTCATAGTGGTGTGAAATGTGGTTGGGGTACGACCGACAACCCGTCGGGGCGAATTTCGCACTGGGGTACTCAAAATTTGAAGAATTTAAGACGTTTCCATGAGTTTTGAAGGTATGGATAAGTTCTAAAAATCCGGTTCTCCTTATCTGGGCCATTAACTCCATACGGTCCAAGAAAGCTGGCACACTACCTTTAATACCTACCAGCTCGTCGTCAGTCGTGCCATAAATGTAGCGTTTTGTACATAATTTCGTGTGAAAAAGCACCGCTCTCTATCCTCTAATAATATAGTCTCTGTTCGAACTGTTATTGACAACAAATAAGTACTTGTTCACTGTTCGGTGGCATTATCAGTTACGACATACATGCGCGGGAATGTATATTTCTTTACAGTTTGTTCCATTTCAAGCTTGCGGCCGAAATGCCCAACCCCTCTGCTGAAAACGGTTGGTGGCTTACGTACGTATTGTTCTGATTAATTATACGACAAAATATTACTGTAACGTCATATGCTGTTACTCACAGTGTCATCGAGACAAACAAGCGCCGTAACTGCAGTCTGTCTCTGTCATTAAGCTTCTAACGTCTTCATTTTGTCACGGCCATGTTTTCTGGAGTCGATCATCTTTAGCGATGAGTGCAGCCTGCCATTCAACCTTTCGGCACCACATGCCACCCGTCAGGGCCCATGCAAAACAGCCTAATGAGCAAAGCCAAAAACCACAAAACGGCATCGTTTTTACGTCACCGCCATTTAGTAGTGCATCAATCAAACGAGGAATGTACGACGGCTGTGGATGCGTGACAATGATTTATAGCTATGGGATACAGATTCATATGACAATATTGACAAGAAAGCTCCCAAACACCAGGCGCGTTATATCGTAAGAGACAACATAAGTAAATGTAGCAATGCATGACGCCAATGTGCACACTTATACTGGAAATTGCAATGCTACAGTGCACTCAACGTTGACAATTCGTCTGGTGTTATTGCAGCCATGATTGCAAAATTATTACTAAAAGCGCCCTTTTCTCTATTGATTATAAAATCTCCGGCACCTGAATCATCCAGAAATATTCGCCTTAGGTTTCTTCTCAATTTCATTTATTTCGTGTGGCTTGCAAAAATAAGTATCGTATCTGTTTGCAGCCTTCCAAACAGTTTTATCTTCAATCCTGTAATCGTTTCATGCACAGTGTACAAGCGTTTAATCAACATCCGTATCCCACCGCTGTAAATCAAAAGTATCACCAATAAATCATAGGATACCCAATGAAACAAGCGATATTCAGCCATATCCACCATAACCTTCGCAACATTCCAATGACTGCGGGTCCTTTGAAGCTCACAAATTAGCAGCAGCTCATCTGAATTGATGACGTCACTGGCAGCTCATCCATCAGCTGCCGGAGCCCGGAGGTGGTCCGAAACATCGCATTATGACGTCAATTAGGCGCGTCCGTCCGCGGAGATGAACATGGTAATGTTCAGGGACTGAGTTGTGTACTTACC